AGAGCCACTCGGGCCTGGCAGCATCTCTGCAAAAGCTCTGGGTTTTGGTTTTGTTTTTGGGTTTCTTCGTGGGTTTGTTTTTTGTGGGGTTTTTTTGTGGTTTTGGTGATTTGTTGTTTTGGTTCTTTTTTTTTGCTTTATAATTGTTGCTCGGTTTTTCCTGGGGAGTTTTGGGATGTGTATTTCAAGGGCAGGCAGGCAGGCACCCTCCTGGTGCTCTGGCCAGAGCCCAAGTCACAGCAGGTCACCCCATCTGCTCACTCACCCTCCAGCTCAGCTGGGCTGCTCCCCTCTCTCCCCAGGGAGCCCCCAGGCTCCACCCCAGCACTGGGGACTCTGTCCTGGGAAATGGTGTCTGCTCCACCAGCTCCAGAGGTTCTGAATTGTCCTCCTCCTGCTGCAGCCTGCATTATCCACCCAAAGTCTTGGGGCACCACGGGACCCTAAAGCATCTCTTCAGTCTACAAGGGGTCTAGTGCTGATTTATGGGGCTTAACTATTCCCCAACTTTCACCACTGCAGGTGAAACACTGAGTTCATCCACTTGCACAGCTATGTAACACCTCTGCAGCAAGGAGAGGCACACTCAAAGGCTGCTAAGAACCAAATCCCACAAATGAATTTTCTCTCCCTGGCAGTGCTTTGGTGATGGTTTTCCCCTTCCACACCAAAGCAGTTCACTGGGAAACTGTTACCAAGACCTTTGTAGCTACCTACACACTCCACCATAACAAAAACTCACTGTGGGAAAACTAAAAACTAAACTAACCCCACCTCAGTTAGAGCCAGTAGTGCAGAGCTCAGAGTAGATGACTCCACATTTTCAACAGCATGTGGATTAATCTGTTCAGCCAACAGAGACACACACTGTGTTTCCAGTTTGCTAGGAAATGTTTCAACCTTTTTTTTTTTTTTTTCAGATTTTTGTAAGACTCAGCTTGGAAGGGTTGCAGTAACACGCAGGGACAAGACAAGAACACCCATGCATTGCCAGCAGCCTCTGCCCCACATCACAACAGTCTGGCGCCGACATCAGGCCTCCCAAAAAGCCTGGTGCCAACATCAGGCCTCCCAAAAAGCCTGGTGCCAACATCAGGCCTCCCAAAAAGCCAGCAGGCACCAACCTGGCCCAACAGGCTTGTACCAGCAGCACAGTTTCCTCCAATCTCAGACTTTCTGGCTCCAGAGGCAGCTCTACAAGCTCGTTCTCCTTTCAACAGGGAACATCTCCTTCCTTTAATGCCACCCAGGAGGAACATCAAATACAGCCTGACCTTCAACCACAAGCACATCTCTCACCCAAGCAGGGGACAAAGCCATGACACCACTTAAGAATGCTGGTACCTGCATTTGCTCCTATGTCCCATTACAGTTTCCTGTCTAACCTCGAGGCCTTTTGTTTCTTGCAATGGTGTCACTGGATTTACTGCTATAGACAACTTCAGTAGACACTTCCCATAATAATTAGCCAGAGCTGAGAGAAAACTCAGTCCTGTGATGCACAGTTACTTTGGATGCCGCCTCTGCTCAGTGTGCCAAAAGCTTTGAGGCTTCCACAATCAATCAAGTGACCCAAGTCAGTCACTCATGACCAGGAAAAAGCACATTTCTCCTTTCTCACCACTGGTGCCAAGAAGCTGAGACAATCCCCTCCTTTCTGCCACCACCATCAGCCCATTCCACACACCTCCCAAATGGCAGATCCAGAGCACTGAAAGCACCAATTTTGCCTATACCCTTGCCCTTCCCTCTTCTGTGATTTCTGGATGTTGCAGTGGTGAGCAGGGCTGATGGAACAGGAGACAAATGGGAACAGGAGCCTACAAAACATGCACATCAATGGGATCCAAGAAGAGAAACACAAAAATCCCTCCCCCCACACCAGAAAACTGTGTTCCTCCAGGGGAAAAAAGAACCAAAGGAGGAGAAGATCTATTTACCTTCTTGCTATTTATTAAGGAGCACAAGCCACCCTTACAAAGAAAAGGAAGTTTTGGGAACCTACATGCTCACAGACAGGAAAGCACCATGGTGTTACGTCCAACTCAGGATTGTGTTCAAGCACAACAGCCATCCTGGGTATTTCTATTGCTCCACTGAGGGAATCTGTGCTCCAAACCTGCAATTGCCAGAGAAAACAGAGGCAGACTACTAACAGAATTAAGAGCAGATACTGCAGGATGACTGCTGCAGGCAGCAAGGTTCTCATGTGCACATCCTCCAGGCTGATCCCATCCTATCCCACCACAGAGATGCTCTGTACCTGGTGCTGAGCATTGCATGGTTCAGGTCAGAGCTTCCTCCAGAGTAACAAAGACTCAACTTTTAAAGAAAACAAAAGGCCCCTAGAGACCAGCCCAGGGAACCAGCAATCTGACAGGCAGACTCGCCACACCTGAAAAGACAAACACCTGTGCAAAGTAATCACACATAGGTGCAAGCTAAAAGGTTTGATGGAAGATTGGGGTATTTCCAGACAAGGCTACACAGCCCCAAGACAGTAACTACAGACTGCTTGATGCAGCTGCCAAGGAGTTCAAATCACTCTTACAACAGGTCTCACTTTTCAATCACCTCAACTATAAATGCCTTCTCTGTAAATTCCTACCCTTATCAAGACAAGGTTCACTTGTGAAAATTCTTCTCTGCTCCTGATAGAATTCTTCTCCCTAACCTTACAATGCTCCCCAAATGGGCCCTGCACTCCTCCAAGCTGCCTCCCCTTCTCTCAGGATGTGCACACCAGGGCTGTGAGTTCCCTTCCCTTCCCACCAGCACACATGACCCAGGATGGTCAGGCCTCCCTCTAAAAACCTCAGGAATAGCCAGGCTGACCCCACTTGGAGCCAGCACGGCTCCCCAGCTTAGACACCCCCATCCCACACCTACTGCTGCTCTGAAAGCAGCTTTTATCTGCCCAGAAAGCGCTCAGACTTCCTGTCTGCTACTGGCAGTAGGTAGAGCTGCTAATTAACCAGTTGTCAGCTGAACCACTGCTAAATCGAGAGCACAAACTAAAATTAAAGATGAGGTATTAAAATGGGCAGAAAGACTTGAAAGGACTATTGTTCATTTAAGAACTTCTCTTCCTGTATTTTTTAAACATTTAGAAATTGCAGTCCAAATAATTGCTTGTCAAGACATTTTTTTGGAGAATAACTGTAGCTATTCAGCAAGCTGTGTAATTAGGTTATTAAAAGTATAATATCATTTGGAAGGCTTTGAGAGAGTAGACCTCTACCTAACAAAAAATCATCAAAGCTTCATTTTCCTCCCTCTCTCCTGGCTTCAATCCCAAATCACAAGTCCTAGCGACCTCTCAGAAGTCAGCTGTGACAGCAGACATTGTTTATAGGATGAGAAGCCATCACTCTGAACTCCTGAGCAGGAACATGCACTGCTCCCATTCCAACTCAGGAAAGCACGTCTGGCATCCAAAAGAGGAAAAAAAATACAAAGCCAAAAGCTGCAGACAAAATCCCAGCTCTCTGAGCCTGATGCTCCCTTCCCCCTCAGGTGGTGGGTTCAGGACAAGGAGCCTCCCCTTTTTCTGGAGGGCACAGCTAAGACCAAAGCACAGACAGGAAAGGAAGGAAATCCCTGACCCACAGGCACAGCACTGCAGGCCAGGCCCATCTCTGGAGGAGGAGGAACACTGGAAGCAGTACAGCAAAACAGAGCACATGTTATGTGATTTACATTTCTGCTGACAAACAGCATGCTTATAGGACAGGTAAAATAAACTACATGGCTGCAAGGCTCAGCAGCCTGAAGCCAGGAGGATAATAGATCCAGAGGGCAAGGAATTGGTCCTGATGTTAGCAAATGGGACGTCACAAAAATTAGACAATTAAAATTTAAAGCAGTAGGGAAGACAAAAGAGCAGGAATCACAATAGCCAAGTCTGATGAAGAGCTGCTCCTTGGGTACAGGACCATAACGATGCTAAGCATTTTTCTACTAGATGGCAGTGTAGTGTCACAGTATATAAAAGGAATTCTAGAAAGAAATTGCTTTGTATTACAAGTGAATCTGTGCTTAGACTTGACTTCAGATAGCATGATATATAACAGCAGCCTCTTTGTAAAGGGACCTGCCGTTAGTCTCACAGTGCAATAGGAGTGATACTCTAGTTTCTAATTTCCCACAAAAGCAGGGGAAAAGATGCTGAGACCCTGAGCAGTTCTGCTACTCAGTACAGCCACAGACAAGCTCCTGAGTCTGCTACAACCGAAGGTGGGCTCTGATCAAAGAGCTCTGGGAGAGGGGGAAGCAAGTCCTGACTGCTTCTCAAAGGCAGGGACAACTTTTAGGCAACACCCTTACTATGGTCAGGGGAGGATGGCAACTTCGAAGATCCAGGGATAAAAAGAGAGCAGTGCCGCTAAAATCCAAAATGCAAGCACAAAATGATCAAGGTTAGGGCTGAAGAACAATGCAAATATTTGCAGTAACTCAGCCATAACAGTAACCTCTACTTTGCATGGCCACCATCCTAAAGCCAAACTTCAGGCACCAAGAAGATACCGCGGCTCACCAACACTCCCAAAACCAACCAATTAATTCTTGGCGCACCCTGGAGCTGCAGGAGCTCCGTACAGCCAAAGATGGAAAAGCTCTGGGGGAAGCTCGCAGGCAGCCGAACGAAGCACCGTCCCTACTGCGAGAGCCGCTCGGGGGTCTCCAGGCTGCGGGGCTGCCAGGCCTGCTCCTGTGTCACCGGGCTCATCACCCCCGGCCCGCGGCCACAACCGCGACAGCCGGCGGGACATCGCTTCCATCACCCTTCCGTCACCTCCCTGCCGGCGGAGCGGGGCAGCTTTGCCCGCTGTGCAGAGGTCGGGGCACGCTGTGCCCGCCCCGCGGTGCCAGCCGCTCCGTGCCGGGATGCCGGGCTCACACCGCGTCCCCCTCCCGCCGCATCCCCGGCACGGCTGCGCCCCGCGGGCCATCGCCCGTCCCGCCGCGGAGCGCGGGGAGCCCCCCGGGCACGGCCTCACCTGGAGGGCCGGAGCCGCACCTCCTTCTTGCTGTCCACCACGGAGGGCACGCAGTTGGTGAGCTCGGTCCAGTCGGCGTGCAGCCCGCAGCTCCAGCCGGTGGAGAAGCGGGAGAAGAGCCAGGTCTCCCGCTTGCCGGGCCGGTGGCAGGTGCACTTCTTCTGCCCGGCGCGGCACTCGCAGGGTTGCTCCAGCTGGATGTTGCGGACCAGGTGCCGCCCGAAGGTGGTGCCGCCCGTCTTCTGGATGTGCAGGAACACGATCAGGTCGTCCCCCTTGATGTTGAAGTCCACCCGCCGCAGCAAGTCGTCGGCGGAGAAATTGAAGCGGGGAACGAAACGCGCCGGCGTCTCGTCCTCCGCCCGGTACGGGTCGGCGGCGGCGGCGGGGCTGAGAGCGCGGAGCCGCAGCAGCTGGCACTCGGTGCCCGGGCAGACGTACTGCAGCACGATCACGGCGAAGAGGAAGAGCATCACCAGCGCCAGCAGCACCTTGTGGGACCGGTCCTCCATCGTCGCCGGGAGCGCCGCGCATCGCCGCCCCGCTCAGAGCCTCCGCAGCCGCCGCCGCCTCCGCCGCGGCGGGACCCGCGCCGCCGCCATCGCCCGCCGCTGCCCACGGCCCTTCCCGGCAGCCCCCGCGCCCGGCCCCGCCGCTCCTCCGCCCGCCCCGCCGCGGCCGCGCCCCCTCACGGGCCCGCCCCGCCCCCGCCGGGACCGCCCCGCACGGCCGCTCCGGCACCGGCGCAGCACCGGGACAGCACCAGCACCGCTCCCTCCCCCCCGCCGGGACCGCCCCGCGTGGCCGCTCCGGCACCGGCATCCGGACAGCACCGGGACAGCACCGGCACCGCCCCCTCCTCCCTCTCCGAGACGGCCCCGCGCGGCCGCTCCGGGACCGGGACGGCACCGGGACCGGGACTTCACCGGCAACGGCACCAGGACTGGGACCGTACCGGCACCGCGCTCCACGCACGGACCGGGACTGGCACGGCGCCGGGACCGGCGGCAGCACCGAGTGTGCTCTGAGCGTGGCCGGCCCGGGGCGCTCCGGGATGGCCCGTCCCGCTGTGCCCGTGCCGGAGCGGGCGGCGGCCCCAGGAGCGGTGCGTGCCCCGTGCCCGCCGTGCCCACGGGGCGCAGACGGACGGGGCTGTTCGCAGGGAGCGGCCCGGTCACGGTCAGCGGCCGCGGAGTCACCGTCCCGTCCGCCCAGCGCACACACACACACACGCACACACATACACACACGCACACATACACACACACACGCGCACACACACACACGCACACGCACACACATACACACAAGCACACATACACACACACACACGCGCACACACGCACGCACACACGCGCGCGCACACACACACTCACTCCCATCCTTGGGCACCGAGCTGTCCGCTCTCTCTCCGCCCCTCGCACCAACACCCGGTGTTTTGGTTTTGTTTGGGGTTTTTGGGTTCAGAGGTAGCACACTGACTGCTTTTTTTGATGCTCCAAGTGGTTTCTGTTGTTTAAGGTGGCAAATACCTGCGCTATCTGTCAGCACATTTCAAACCTCTCTGCGCAAGGAGAGTGTTCTGTAAATAAAACAATAACAACAAGGACTCTGTGGATTTATCTCTGATTACAGTCCTGTGTATTTTTGTATGCAAATGTTGTTTAGCCCTCCAGCTGCTGTTCAATGAGGCCCGTGGGTGGGAGCACATGGGTGCTCACCCCATGTTCACCCCGTGCCCTTGCACAGGGACACAGCCCCACACCATGTACCAGGACCTGGCAGGGCCATAGAGCACAACACAGTGAGCCCCTCAGGCTTTCCTTTCCCTCTTGGTGCAACTGATGTTGAGGCAATTAATGCCTGTGGCGACTGCAGCCTTGCAAGAAAAAAAGCAATAATAAAAAGAAGAGGTTTCTAGCTAAAGGAGGTTTTCACCCCATCCCCTGTCAGTGTCCTGTCCTTCATGGAAAAGCAGCTGGGGCAGGACCATGGGTTTGGGCACCTCCAATTTGATTGATTGCTCCAATACTTAACTGATGTTACACAGGAACCCCCAATCTCAGGCAGGGCTGGAAATGTCTGAGCTTCTCCTTCCCCCCCCCATCACAGCACCTGAGCTTTTGCTTTCCTGTCCCTTGTGATGCCTCTGTTCCTCTGCCTGACCAATCAGCCTAGAGCTGAATTTTCTATTATGCACAGCAGGCAGCAAAGAAAATAGTTTGTAAACACTCTCCCCAGACCTTTATTAATCATAAAACCTAAAAAAAATAAGACTTGCCTTCTTTTTCCCCTCCTCTCAAGCAATTCTCTCTAAATAATTTCAGCAGGTACATGTGGTGTTTGGAGGTGATTTCGTTATGGTTTTCATCCTTGAGCAACCTCTCCTGTCTTCTGTATTTTTTCCAGTTGTCCACAATATTTTGAAAACATTTACACTCACAATAATAGGCAATTTTATCACAAAGATTCTATGTATGAGAACTACTGAGTTCATTTACTTCCATTTGGATCTCCAAAATGAATGGATCGCACCATTTAATGAAAACTCAGTGTTCTGAAATTCAAGCCTTAAAATTATAAAAATGTTTCTGTGCTTTATATCCATCGCTCTCTCACAGTCATTCATATTAAAAATGCTTGCCTCCAGTTTTATTTGTTTTACATTATGAAATAACAAAGATGCGTGGTGAGTTAAAAGCAATCCTGAATGCTAATACCTGGGAATTAAATGGAGAGGATAACTGTGGCCCAATGTCTACACTAAATTAATATATACTATAAAAGATATGATGCATACTGGGTTGGTGCTCCCAGCAGAGCCATTATTTTGGAATGGGCTAAACAAACAATGATCATCTTTTCAGTAATGAGTGATGGTCTCCAGTCTGCTGCCTTCTCACTCACAGTATGTAAATGATGCTCTCCAGCTTTGATCCAGGGACCCAAAACATTTGCTTAGGCACTAAAGAAATGAAAATTGCTCTGAACTAGATAAAAGTAGGACAGAGCAGAGCTGTTAAGGTTTCACAGCACGGGCAAGATTCGATGGCTGGCAGGGCAGATGGTTTAAGCTAAGAGGTCAAGCAAAAGCACTGAGCACCCAGTAACAGCAGTGAGAAAAAAATCTCCCCCTCCTTCTCCACACACAGCATCCCCAGACACCCCACACTCATGATCCCTGTTCCCACTCCCCACACATGACCCTTCTCTGCTGGCACAGGGGGTCCCCTCACCCCATGTCTCAGATGAGCACATGGGTATGGCCACTGCTCCTCTTCTCTCCCACCCACAAGAGCCCTCTGCCCCTGGCTGGTCCCCTCTGCACCCACCCTGTCAGCAGCTGCCTCCCTCCAGTACAGCCGGGCTGGTAAAAAGTCTCATTTTGGGCTGACCCTCTCTTATTACCCACGGGAAGGTTCAGAAAATCAGGGCTTGTTATGCAAAGGCACGGGGTGTTTGCCCAGAGACAGATCAATAAAACACCTTGTGCCTCAAGCCCTAGATTGATCTCTGCAGCTTTAGGAAACTGCTGTTAGCTCATCAGCTGGGGCTGCTCATCACATCCCTGTGTACTTCCTGAAAACCTTTGTTTCCACAGCATCTGAATTTCACCTCTGCATTTGGCTGGCAAATGGCGACTGCTTGGCTCCAACAAAAAGAAAACACACGTCAGCTTTGAGATAAGCAGGCTCTCAGTGGGTAAAACAGAGCTTTAGCAGGCATTGAGGCCATCAGCTTATTGAGAGGAGCAAGGTCTCATATCAGTTCAGCCTGAGGAGGTCCCAGTGTCACTGCAGGTACAGGTAAGGGCAGGAGTGCAGCAGCTTGAACCCCTGGGGCAGATGGGCAGGGCTGGGCTGTGGCAGCCCTGGCCAGGGCTGGGGTAACCCCTGCTGCTGAGGCATCCACAGCTGCTGGCAGGATAAAGTCTTTTTCAGATGAGAGGGGAAACCTTATTTGCACAATAGCACAATTAGAATAACTTGATTAAAAGAAATGCAAACAAGCCATTAGGTTTGCTTTGTCTCCTTGTAATGTGATTCATCTTATAGTATCTGTGCAGGAAGGGGGAGAAGATAGATGAAATAAGTACAGAAAAGCCTCCTGTGTGATGAAAATAATATATTTATTAAAATAACAAACACAATCATCACCAGCCCAACTGCTGCAGCTTTCCTTTAAGGAATTGTCTGTCTTGTCTGGAATAGCTGATGGCTAAACAGGATTGTGGCCTGGGCATTTAAAACCACTTTTCCCATCATTTATCATCAAAGTGATGAAGTGGATGCTCCAGCCTTGTCCCCAACTGCCCCTCTCCTCCACCACTTCCATAAGATGTGCAAACCAGCAACTTTGATAATTTCACTTCTCCTTTGAGACTAGGTAAACCTGGATTATGGAGTCAAAAGGTATCACCAGGAGACAGAGCATGTGGAAGACACCACTCTACTCCCTGAGGAAACAAGTCTTAAAATGAGTGGAAAAGCACAGAGCAGTGAGATGGTCATTGCATGAGAGAAGAAGCGAAGCCAAGAGCAAGGAAATATCTGGGAAAGGAGCAAAGAAATGCTGTGGTGGGAGAGAGGTGGAAGCCCTGCTAGCCCCTCATGGAATAAGACCTTATCTAGTACAAGGTATGCAAATGAGTGAAGGCATGGAGCAGTGGGGTGATGAGTAAACTAATTGGAAAATGAGGCTTGATTATTCATGGACTTGACATATCAGAGAGCAGCTAATCAAAGGAATAACACAAGTTTGCATGTTCTTTGTGATGTGGGCATCAAAGTCTTCCTTCATGTCACTGTGGCATCACTGCTGCTCATTCCTAAAACCAAACACACTTCGTTCAAGTGTAACATCTTTCTCCATAATAGGAGATGGGTCTTGGAAAGGCTGAGATGCTCAAAAGAGCTCTGATTTTTCCAGCTATTGAACTGATCTTGCATTTATCTCTACTTATAGATCTTGTCTCCCTGAATACAAACATTGCCCAAAGCTCTTTGGGTGTGTGGTACACTGGGCAGCCTTTAAAAGCTTGAGCCAAAGACCCTGATACTCAAGGGACCCAACTTGCAAGATAATTGCAAAATAATCCCTTACAGTTTCATTTTGCTATGGGCTGACGCTAAACAAACTTTGTGTAAATGCCACATAGCATTCAGATGGACTTGGCAGGAGGTGTTTGCACAGAGCTGGGTGCAGGAAGCTTTCAGGAGTGCCTCCTTCCCAACACATGGCATCAGAAACCTCCTGTCCAGGCTGCTCACTGCAGCAAATCTTGGAGCCAGACAAAAGGCAGGCTGGCTTTCAAGTCACAAGGCATCAGCAGAATTTCCATTTCACACATAGATCTCGGCCCTGTGAAAGGTTTTAAAGGAGGACCTGATGTGGGACTGACACCTGGCCATGTCCCAAGTGTCTGGGCAACAGTTGGAGGGTGAATGAATGATACTGCCCCATCACCACTGATTCTTTCCCAGCATGAAACTGGCTGAGAAACTGCTGAAACATCAAATTCCCTTTTGATGAGGACAGCCTGGGACAACTCCAGGGAACAGGAT